CAGAAGAGACTCCTTGTTGTGCCCACATTCCAAATTTTATCTGTATCTAACTGAAACTAAATTGCACTGAGAACCTAGCTGCAAGGGAGTTCAGAAAATGGACATTTTAGCCTTAAAGCATCTATAATACAAGAAGATAGAGCAGAACAGTAGATTTCAAACGACAGGTTGCAGTCTAATTGACTGCAGTTGAAATTGATCTAATGGGTAGATCACAAATGGCAGTTTAAAAAATGAAACAGAACAAATTATAAATTATCAGTGTGCCTAGCAAGAATAAGTATTGTTTTATGAAAACTACACATATCATTTACACACAAATGTTTTGAGGATATTTTATATATGTGTATAAATTTGTAAGGGGAAGGAAAAAGAGAATGAATATATTTAAAAAAGCATTTCTTATTGTGGGTCAGGATCAAGAAAATTTGAAGGCAAGGTATCAGCAGGGTGAACAGATATTGTGTGACAATTCACCATAGCTACTACCACATGTCCTTTATTTTTCTAGGGGCACTTCCTATATTCCTAGTCTGTTGACAGTTTTTATTTTGAATGAGTGATGAATTTTGTCAGCAATCTTGACATATCTATTGATATGATAATAGGTCCTTCTCCTCTGATGTGCTATGTTGATGGATTCTCCACAATGCATCATCTTTGCATTCTTCTCTTTCTAAAAATGTTTTTATAGTTGTCTTTTGTACAATGACTCTCTAGCTTTGCTATAATCCCTGTCCCAAACATTGCTCATGATTTCTAGCAAGTTCTGTATTTGTCAAAGATGCTATTGCACATCTTGACACATCCTGTCAGAACAAAAGAACAATTCTGTTTCATGATCCTTGATTAAATTCACAAAAAGCCCCCCCAAAAATCTAATCCTTTCTAGATATCTTTTCAATGTAAGGATCTATGATTTAAAAAATCTATACGAAGAAGTCAGTCCTACTGAAAACCTGTATTTTATTCTGATATAATAGTGACAATTATTTCAGTATCCATTTGTTTATAATATAAATCATTTACTAAAGTATCTCCATCAATGGCAACTATAAAATGTCTGTCTGTTCAGGTTATAGCAATGTAAGTAGTGACCCAGAAACTTTTGTTTTTTTCTTATTTGTTGTATTTTCCTTATTGCTCATTTATAAATATTAAAGAATGTCTACATTGTTTGAAATCAGCCAAAAGATAAGCACTGGCTTTTCAATGGGCCATGGTTTTAACTCACAAAATCAGGAAATTACAACATTAATCAGTTAGATCTTTGGCTCTAAATACCTTTAGATTTCTTATTTGTCTTACATTGTTTCTTGCTACTTTTTAGGATAAAAGAAATTTAATTTTGAATGAAATTTAAAAACAAAGCATGATTTTTTTTACAAATCATCTGTGTAAATGATATGTTACCACCAATTTTCAATAATTTAACTGATGTACATATATATGTGTGTACATTCTTTATGAACAATATTCTTCAACATTACCAAATGCAGAAAAATCTATTATTTTAGGGCTGGGGATGTGGCTCAAGCGGTAGCGCGCTCGCCTGGCATGCGTGCGGCCCGGGTTCGAT